GGATGATGACTTAGGGTCTATCCAACAGGTTTGCTCTGATGAGCTTGCCCCTTGCTTGGAGAATGATTCTGACATATCAGTGGAGGAACCACTGGTTGTTGTGTGACCCAACTGTTATGAAGAGGCTGCTGATATGGGAAAGGATTGGGTAGTCGATAATATTGGAGTCACTAGCGAGCTGTTGGGAGTCTCATCAGAGGGCAATGACGACCAGACTTTATCCATCCTTCAAGCAATTGTGGAAGGAAGAGAGGTCGCAGTGACCAATGAAGTCATGAACACGAGGCCTTTATCGTCCTGGAAAGGGGCACTTGAGGTCAAGAATCTCATCTCTTATGTCAATTATGAAGGGAAGAAAGGGGCGGTGAGGGAAAGGGGAAGGACCAGAAGTAGGAGTATAACGAAGGGAGGAGGGGAGATAATTTTATTTGGTTTTTAATGAAGTTACGAATCATTACATGGAATATTCGTGGTCTTAACGACCCGAACAAGATTAGGGTGGTAAAGGTAGCTTTAAGGAAGTGGGGGCCCAAATTGCTTGTTTGCAAGAAACCAAGTTGGCATTCATTTCTAATGGGGTGGTTAGGAGTCTGTGGGGTGGAAGGTTTGTGGAATGGGAGGCCTTGAATGCTATAGGTACTTCGGGTGGAATTTTAGTTACGTGGGATAGTAGATGGCTGTCTAGGATATATGTGTGGATGGGGAGATTTTCCGTGTCTTACGAGTTTCAGATGGAATAGGACAATTTCAGATGGGTCTTTTCTGGGGTTTATGGACCGGTCTTTTCAAGGATTGTGGTCTCTCCCTTGGTGCTTGGGTGGGGATTTCAATTCAGTTAGATCCCCGGTCGAGAGGTTTACAGGGGGAAGGAGGTCTTCTGATATGGATCAGTTTTTTGACTTTATGGATGAGCATTTTCTCATTGATTTACCAATGGAAGGTACAGCCTATACCTGGTCAAATGGTAGGGACCCAGTCACTTTTTCAAGGCTGGATCGATTTTTGATTTCCGGGGAGTGGGAAGAGAAATTCCCAGATGCTGTTCAGGCAGTTTTGGCAAGGGTAAGTTTTGATCATGTTCCTTTGGTGTTGGATTGTGGGGGTTTGTGTTCTCGAAGATCCCCGTTTCGGTTTGAGAACATGTGGCTGAGAGTGGAGGATTTCGAAGGGAAAGTTTGGTCTTGGTGGGAGGGAGTTTCAGTTACAGGTTCGCCTAGCTTCACGTTAACAAAGAAGTTAAGAGCTCCCAAATTCGATCTTAAGAAGTGGAATAAGGATGTTTTTGGGAATCTTTAATGGAGGAAGAATAGAGCCCTTGTTGAATTCTCTGAGATTGATCGTCTTGAAGAGGCGGGTGGGGATGTGAAGGAACAACGTTCTAGGAGACCCTCCTGTCAGGCAGTTTTTGTTGAGATTGCTAGTATGGAGGAGATTTCGTGGAGACAAAAATCCCGGGCTCTTTAGCTAAAAGAGGGAGATCGCAGCACAATTTTTTTTTTCATAGACTCGCTAATGCTCACAGAAGGAGTAATCATATAGGACGAATTCGGGTGGAAGGTGTGGAGCTGTGGAGGGAGGAAGAACTGCGTAATGGGATCGTTTCCTTTTATCAGAAGCTTTACTTAGAACCGTTAGCATGGAGACCTAAACTTGATGGTCTCCACTTTGAGGCTATATCGGAATTGGATAGAGATGCGCTTGAGATTCCTTTTATTGAGGATGAAGTTCTACAGGCTTTATCAAGTTGTAATGGGGACAAAGCTTCGGGGCCTGATGGGTTTACTATGCGGTTTCTAATGGAAAGTTGGGCAGTTGTGAGAAATGAGGTGATGGGTACATTTCAGTAGTTTCATTCTACTGGCGTTTTTGAGAAGTCGCTAAATGCGTCATTCATTGCCCTTATCCCTAAGAAGGGAGGCACTTCAGACATTAAAGACTTTAGACCAATTAGCCCAGTGGGTTGTATTTACAAACTCGTGGCTAAGGTTCTTGCCCTTAGGATGATGAAAGTAATGGATGGGATTATCTCGGATTCCCAGAACGCTTTTGTTGGAGGAAGGCAAATTCTCGATTCAGTTCTTATTGCAGGCGAATGTGTGGATTCCAGAATGCGTAGTGGGGTTCCCGGAGTCTTATGCAAACTTGACATTGAGAAAGCATATGATCATGTGAATTGGAATTTCCTTCTTTACTTGCTACAGAGAATGGGGTTTGGAAGCTGTTGGAGGAATTGGATTGAGACTTGTCTTTCGTCTGTCAAGTTCTCGGTTCTTGTGAAGGAATCTCCTGTTGGTTTCTTTGGGTGCACCCGGGGCTTAAGACAAGGAGATCCTTTGTTGTCTTTCCTTTTTCTAATTGTTATGGAGGGCTTGAGCTGACTTATACGAAGGGCAGAGGATCTTGGTCTTATTAAGGGCTTTAGAGTGGGAAGAGATCTAGTCCATCAGGTGGAGATTACTCTCATCTTCTTTTCGCGGATGACACCCTGGTTTTCTGTGATGCTGATGTGTCGCAACTTAAATATTTGAGGTGTATCCTGGCATGTTTTCAGATTGTTTCTGGGTTGAAGGACAACGTGGCTAAGAGCTTGCTTGTCCCAGTAGGGGATGTTCAGGATATTTCATCTTTATCTGCAGTCCTCGGGTGTAGGGTTAGTTCTTTCCCCATTCCTTATTTGGGTTTTCCCCTAGGGGTTTCTTCCAGGAGAGATAGGCATGCAAAGAGATGGAAGAAACAATACTTGTCTAAGGGGGTGTAAAGTCCCTCTTATTAAGAGGACTTTATCGAGCCTTCCCACATATATATATATATTTTATCTATGTTCCAAATTCCACGCTCCATTGTTGAAAGGATCGAAAAAAATCAAAGGGATTTGGGGCAGAAGGGGCGAAGAGTTCAAGTATCACCTTGTTAGATGGGAGCAAGTTTGCAAGCCCATGAAGTTGGGTGGTCTTGGAAGGTTGGTTCCTTTTAATCAAGCTCTTTTGGGTAAATGGTTATGGAGATATGGGAGAGAAAGACATTGCCCTTGGCGAAGGCTAGTTTCATGTCGGTATGGAGAAGAGAGTGGTGGTTGGTCTACCGGTCTGGTTCATCTTGCGGGAGGAGTTGGGGTGTGGAAATCCATCCGGAAGGGATGGGATGTTTTCTCTACTCATATCAGGTTCAAAGTTCGTGATTGCAGATGCGTTCTTTTCTAGGAGGATCTTTGGTGTGGTGACCAACCATTATCTCATACTTTTCCCAGATTATACAGTATTGCAGTTGATAGACACGCCTACGTAGCTGACTGTTATTGGCTTGATAGTAGTGGGATTATGTGGGATGTGCACTTTAGGCGTTCCTTTTAGGATTGGGAGCTGGACGAGGTGCGTGTTCTTCTAGATTTGCTGTATAGGGAGGAGGCAATTGGCAGAGGTAGTGACGATCTAATATGGATTCTCTCTTCCCATGGTCGTTTCGTAGTGCGATCTTTGTTCTTATGTCTATCTAATTTTGTTAGTCTTGACTTTTCGTGGAAGACCATTAGGCGTTCTATGGCTCCAACTAGGGTGGCATTCTTTGTTTGGACTGTTGTATGGGGTAAGATACTAACGATTGATAATTTGAGGAAGCGGGGTAACTGTTTTGTTAATTGGTGTTGTCTATGCAAGCAAGATGGTGAGTCAATTGATCATATCCTTATGCATTGTCTTGTGGAGTACGTTTGCTGGAATCTTATTCTTGGGTTGTTCGGTATGCGGTGGGTAATGCCACGTTCTTCTAAGGATTTGATTCAAGCTTGGAGAGGATGTCGTGTGAGTAGAGGTGTACGCGATTATTGGAGAATTGTCCCACATTGCATTTGGTGGTGCATCTGGAAGGAGAGGAATAGTAGAATGTCCAAAGGAAAGGAATTGTTCACGGCGACTTTAAAACTCTATATTGTTCGTTCTCTTTTTAGTTACGTGAAGAGGAGCTCTTGTTCCTCTTCCGATGATTTAATTATTTTTTTGGATTCTTTGGGACCTTAGTCCCCGGTTCCACTTCTGTATAAGAGGGACGCATTCCCCTTTTGAATGCCTTTTTATTTTGTTATAACTTATTAAAAAAAAAAAAAAAAGTTGCTAAAAGTCCAATCTAAAATTTATTTGGGGGGGCCAAGTATGGAGTTATACATATTTGTTTTTGTTGGGCCATATAATAATAGACATTCTCAAAAATTTTGGTTTTGTGTTTGTTGGGGGGGGGGGGGGGGGGGGGGGGGGGGGGGAGGGGCATGATACTAAGTAGGGAATCTCTTTTTTGAAAGATACATATGCATGTTCAAATGTTTTTTCAAAGCAAAGACACATCTATATATACACACACACACAAAGACATATCTAAATAGTAGGTTTGTCTCCTGTCTTCCCTCCCTGCTACCAGCACTGCAAGTAGGCGGGGAATACACAGTGGATGCAGCTTTTATATGTATAAATAACAAACTGTACTCTCATGATCTCATCTCACTGAAAATCTACAAATAAGATAAAATCTATGAACCAAAATTCAAAGGGCCAACATCCTAGCGTTATCTTACCTAGTAACAACCTGAGTTTGAACATATGCCCGAGCATATGCGTTTCTTTTAAAGCACACTATTTCAAACAAAGAGAGACAACTTGCCAAATAGGATGCGCTTCCTCACTCTGCCTTCTCGCCAAATTCATAAGGCCTTCTCACATGATGTCGCCATCTTGACATGACCAAGAAAAATACTAAAAAAAATTATTAATCGCTGAAAGAATTTCCTTTGGGCATTAGTATGTTGCCTTCTTATTGCCTTGTTAGAGGTGACAATATGAAAAATTTATGATGTATGATTATTTTGTTTTTGGTATCCACTTTTAGTTGATTATTTCATAATGGAATACAAATACTCTATATTCTTGCAATTTGTAGTTTATGTACATTAATACTTTTTGAGTTTTTTTTTTCTAACTGGAAATATCACTTCTTTATAACTTATTTGTATCCAGTTGGAAGGAGGGATTTCACATCTTCCTTTACTTGATCCCTCGATGCGAGCAACGCCACTTACACCGTCTCAATGGAGGAATAAATTGGAAACGTTGAATATAATTGATGAAACATCAAAAGCAAACCTCAATACGAAGTATGTCCTATTGGATGTGAGAAATGGTACCTACTCTTTTTCTATATTGCGTTAATAGTAAGAATTTTGAGTAATAGTAAGAATTTTGATTATTTATAAAAGTATACACATTTTTCTTTGTAAGTGCATTGTAGTGGACATTTTGTGTGGATGATACCCTGATTTCCCTTTTAGTACTGAAGTTGGTTTGATTTATAGAAGTATCCCCATCAGTAGGATTTAATATAAAGAAACATAATAAACATGAAGTTATGGATGGCATGGTTTTGGCAAAAGAAACGAAACATGGGAGCATCCCTAGCATTTGAAAAGGCATATGTCCAGGCTATAGGAAGTATGAAGGCATTGACCTGGCTACAACAAATACATTTTAAAAAAAACGAGAATGCTGAAATGAAGATAGAGAAGGGATTAGCAATCAATTTGTTGGAGAAAAATTAGGAGTGATACCTATTAGCAATAAAATAAGAGTAGCTTTAGGTGGTATAGACATGTACAACATGCTCCACTAGACGCACCATTGCTAAAATAAAGACTAATTAAGTTAGAGGCAGATTAGAGATGGAGCACAACTAAGGATAAAGTAACAAAAAAAGGCTTTAAGAACTTACATATCTTGTAATAGAAAAGATTGCAAAGAATAGAATTCATGGGTTGGTAAAAGAGGGTTTTGGAAAGAAAACTAGGGCTTATAGGGGCTAGAATAATGGTTTGAAGTGTGTTCCAAGTAATAACACAGTAAGTGATGGGATCAACTGATATATTACAATTGAATTCGTGTGAATAAAGTAAAGAAAGAGTAGAAGAGATGCACAAATTTACATGAAAAACCCTAAAAAAAGAGAGTAAAAAACCACGGGACCTCGTCTTGGCGGGCACAATCTATTATGGAGAAGGAGATGTACAATTAGGTCATAGTTCTTGCTCAACCTTCTAATTGATCTCTAGACACAGTAGAATACCAAATCTTTAGTGCCCTCTAAGATCTCTAGGTTATTCTTTTGATCTGCCAACAACATCTGCACCACATGGACATGCTTCTTTGGTGATTGCTCGTTGTTTTGGTTGATATGAAGCAAAATTGATCTCAGTTTTTGAGGATGTGTATCAATTTTAATTCACAAATATGCAATAGTAAATAAATAAAGTAAAGAAAGAGTAGAAGAGATGCACAAATTTACGTGAAAAACCCTAAAAAAAGAGAGTAAGAAGACCACGGGACCTCGTCTGGTTAGGCACAATCCACTATGGAGAAGGAGATGTACAATTAGGTCATAGTTCATGCTCAAACTTCTAATTGATCTCTAGACACAGTAGACTACCAAATCTTTAGTGCCCTCTAAAATCTCCAGGTCATTCTTTTGATCTGCCAACAACATATGCGCCACACGAACCTGCTTCTTTGGTGATTGCTCGTCGTTTGTACTATGTTGTTTTGGTTGATATGAAGCAAAATTGATATCTCAGTTTTTGAGGATGTGTATCACTGAGGAATAATCTATATGGTTTCTAGATTGAATATGTGCAGAAGGCGGGGGAGTCTGTGAACCATCTTTTGCTTCATTGTCCACTCGCGAGAGATATTTGGGATATGTTCTTGGTTGCTTTTGGATTGGCTTGGGTGTTTCCTGAGTCAATGGTCAACCTGCTTGAGGCTTGGAAAGGGTGTATAATGGAGAGCTGAGTGCGTGATGCTTGGAGGGCCACTCCTCTATGTTTATGGTGGGGGCTGTGGAGTGAGAGAAATAGGAGATCCTTTGTAGGGGAGGAGTCTCCTATTTGGAATCTTAAATACAATATACTGAATTCTTTGTGTTTTTTTGGGTAAATGGGTGGAATTGTATATCTACAGATAGTCTTTTGGATTTTTTGGATAGCTTAAAGTTGTAGCGTCGTGGCTCACGACTTGTGTTTTCTTTTGGAATCGCTCCTCTTTTGAGCGCCTTTAATGAATTTTTACTTATATATAAAAAAAGAATATGTGCAGAAAATCTCTTATAGTGTAAAAATATGCAAAACTCACCAACTCACTCTATATCTTCTCACAAAATCTCTTCAAGTGTTTATCTATGTTTTAGCATGGAAGGCCTTACTCTCAAACTGACCTAAACCAAAATTTACAGTCAACAAGAGAGTCCATCACGTTTTAAATATATTTTTTTGATAAGTAAGAATTGTATAAAAAGCACTCAAAAGGGAGCGCGTCCTAAGGGAACAACAAACCAAAAACAGACACTAAGCCTTCAAAGAGGCCAAAAAATCTGCAATCTCCTCCCCAGATCTAAGATCTCTCCCTGAAACCCAACAAAAAAGAGTGGAGACAATAGAGAACTTAAGAAAAGAAATACTCCTCTCCTTTCCTTCGAAATATCTCATATTCCTCTCGAGCCAAATACATCACCAGACACAAAGAGGCGTAGCCCTCCAGGCATCTCGAATATGAGCCCTTATTGAGTAACCTCTCCAGGCCTCAATCAAACCTTTAGCAGATCCAGGCATGACCCAGTGAATCCCAAAAAGACCAAGCATCAAAACCCAACAGTCCCTGGCCAAGGAGCATTGTAGCAGCAGGATCCACTTTCTCCTCATCACGGAGGCACATGTAGCAACGACTGACCACCACCTGATTCCTCCTCAAATTATCCTGTGTTAAGATCTTACCCAAAACAGTGGTCCAAGCAAAGAAGGCCACCTTGAGAGGAGCCTTTGAGCGCCAAACTGACTTCTAAGGAAAAAAATCACCCGGCTCATCTGAAAGACACCTGAAGAAGGACTGAACATCAAAACGACCTTGAGAGCCATGGGTCCAGATCCAACAATCATAATCTGCAACCATAACATCTTGCTGATAAAGCAACTCCAAAAAGCGAGTAACCTCCTCAATCTCCCAGTCCTGAAAATGCTGCCTGAATCGAACATCCCAAACCAGTCTCCTGTTATCAAGTTGATAACAGTTGACCACCATGGCCTGCCTATCCGAAGCAATCCTGTAAAGCCGAGGGAAAGTGAGAGCAAGAGAAAGATCCCTACACCAAATATCCTCCCAAAAATGATCCTCCTACCATCCCTGAGTCGAAACCGAACATGTTTGGAAAATTCATCCCAACCCTTCCTAATGAACTTACAAACCCCCACGCCCCTTGGGCCACGCACCTTAAGAGAACACCAACCTCCTCTACTCTCCCCATACCTACACGCAACAACCTTCCTCCACAGCCAATGTCTCTCCACCCCAAACCTCCACAACCACTTCCCAAGGAGAGCTTTGTTGAAAGGCACCAATCTCCTAAACCCCAAACCTCCCCTCCGAATTGGCATGCACACTTGGTCCCAACGAACCAAATGAAACTTGAACTCCTCCCCTCTATCCCCCTACATAAAATTCCGCTGCAATCTCTTAATTCTCTCAGCCATAGAAGAAGGGATTTGGAAAAGAGAGATAAAATAAGTAGGATGGTAGGAAATGGTGCTCTTAATCAGAGTAACCCGACCCCCCTTGGAAAGGTACTGTTTCTTCCAACCCGCCAGCCTCCTCTCAAACCTATTCACAATAGGATCCCACACCTTCGCACACCTCGAAGGAGCTCCCAAAGGCATCCTTAAGTAAGAGATACTAGCAAACATAGCAATATCAGGGACCTCCCGAACTGGTACCAAGACGCTCTTACCAACATTCACCTTTAGGCCGGAGACAACTTGGAACCAAATTAAAACGCATCTCAAGTAGCGAAGTTGGGATGCATTCGCATCACAAAGCACCTAAGTGTCATCCGCAAACATCAAGTGAGAGATCTCCAACTAACTAACAGCATCCCTGCCCACCCGAAAACCTCTCAGAAATCCCAACTCAACAGCCCTCCTCAACAATCTACTAAGGGCCTCCATCACAAAGAGGAACAAAAAAGGGGAAAGCGGATCCCCCTGTCTCAAGCCCCTCAAGCTAGAGAAAAAACCTGTTGGAGCTATATTCACCAGAATAGAGAACCGGGCATTCGAAATGCAAAAATGAATCCATTTCCTCCAACGAACTCCAAACCCCATCCTATCCATCAGGTAAAGAAGGAAGGTACAACTTACATGGTCATACGCCTTCTCGATATCAAGCTTACATAAATCACCCGGCACCCCACTACGCAATCTGGAGTCCGCACACTCGTTAGCAATAAGAACTGAGTCCAAAATTTGACGACCTCCCACAAAGGCATTCTGAGAGTCAGAGATAACTCTATCCAACACTTTCCTCAATCTAAAAGCAAGGACATTGGCAAAAAAAAAAGACCTTGTAGATGCATCCCACCAAACTAATAGCGCGAAAATCCCTAACATCGATCGCCCCCCCCCCCCCCCCCCCCCCCCCCCCTCTTCGGAATGAGAGAACTGAAAGTGGCATTCAAACTCTTCTCAAAAGAGCCCTGAGAATGAAAAGCACTCATCACCTCCCTTTTAACCACCTCCCAGCACTCCAGAAGGAATCTCAATGTAAACCCATCTAGACCTGGGGCTTTATCCCCATTACAACTCTTCAAAGCCACCAGAACTTTCTCATTAGAAAAAGGCTCCTCCAGACCAGAGCACTCCTCGCCAGAAATAGAGTCAAAGTGAAGCCCTTCAAGTAAGGGTCTCCACCCAGTCGACTCAGAAAACAACTTTTACCTTTGCTAACCTCCTCCTCCTTGCTTAACCACACCCCATCCACCCGAATCCTCCCAATATGATTACCCCTCCCATGGGCATTGGCCAATCGATGGAAAAATTTCGTGTTCTTGTCACCCTCCTTAAGCCACAAAGCCCGAGATTTCTGTCTCTACGAAATCTCCTCCATAAAAGCAATATTAGCAAATTCTGCCTAACACTCCACCCTCCTAGCCTTTAAGGAATCCGGCAAGGCCCTGACCCTCCATCCGATCAATATTAGCAATCTCAGAAAAGACCCGATTCTTCCTCCAAACAAGATTCCCGAAGACCTCTTTGTTCCAAATCTTGAGACATTCCTTAAGAAGACGAAGGTTACCTACGAGCGTATGACTTGAGGTGCCAACCACCCCAAACCCATCCCACCAGGAACGGACCCTTCCAAGAAAGCCCTCAACTCGAAGCCACATATTCTCACTGTGAGGAGAACGATGACTGTGCAACCCACCACAATCCAACAACAATGGAACATGGTCAGAAATAGGACGAGCCAAAGTAGGCTGAACAATATCGAAAAATTTCTCCTCCCATTCACCGGACACAAGGAATTGATCCAACCGAGAGAGAGTAGGAGAAGAGCGACCACTAGACCAAAAGCCTAGAATCATCAATAAACGATGAGAAGGACTCCATATCAAGCGTCCACCTCCCCCCTGTCAATCTCTCAAAAAGAGAACGCACAACATTAAATCCCACCAATACACAATGGTAACAACCATCTCCTCCTGATATCCCCCAGCTCCTCCCACAACAAGGGACGAACACTGTCCTCCATAGGCCCGTAAACTCCAGAAAAAACCCAAAGAAATCCATCCTCCTCCAAAGAGAGAACGCATAAAACAGAGAAACTCCCGATATGAGAATCCACCAAAGACACCCATCTGTTATCCCACATAATAAGAATTCCACCCGAAGAAGCACAAGCGTCCAAGGCACACCACTCCACAAATCTCCCACCCCAAAGGCTCCTCACAATCATATCCTTCATCGAAGCAATTTTAGTTTCCTGCAAGCACACCACGTGACCTCCCCCTTTACCAATCACCGCCTTCATCACTTTTCTCCTCTCTGGGTTATTGAGACCCCGGACATTCCATGATAAGATCCGTAGCATCATAGGGAAACAGTAGTAATTGCATTCCCTCCCCTCCTCCCACTGTCCCTCTCCCTGGCCCCCTCATCCTCCTTTCGTAAGTAACAAACTCATTGGGACTCTGCACCTCCCTCCCTCCCAACCCATCCTGAACCCCACCCTTGCTTCCATCCCTATTCAAAAACTGAGAATTCAGCACATCATGGAACAAACACAACGCCTCCTCCATCATACCCTCGAAAGACACACCCGATAAGGAACCCACCTCCCCACCCTTCTCCCTAAACCACTCCTCCTCCAAACCTTCCATACCTTCAAAAACAGTAGCACCCCCCACATCATCTCCCTCCGGTCCAACAGCAGCCAAAGGAACAACCATCTCCACATTCGGCTCAGAACCATCCCACTGGACCAACCCGTTATCCCTATCAAATGAAGAACATGAGACATCCTCCCACTCCTCAAGAACAGAATTGGAAGGAGAACTCCTCCTCAGACACACACCCCTTCAAAGCCATGTGAACCCGCAGCTCCTTTAACAAAGTAGCGGCTGAAACCTCGTCAAGATTAATCCGCAAATCTCGCCCAACACATACAGAAACACCCTCGCAAGACATCTCGGGAAACCGAGAGGAACTCAACATAGAACCCTGCCCTCCAAAATGACTCGAATTCACGTCCACCTCTGACTCCATCTCAAAAATCGTATCCAATTTTTTAGAAACAGAGGACATCACTTTCTTTTCAAGCTCCGAGCATCGCCTCGACGCCCCACAAGAAGGGGAACAAACAGAAGAAGAGTGATTCGGAAAAGAGAGATCAGGCAAAAGATTGAGCATACCCGGATCAGAAATGGAGTCCTGACTCTTCACCCACTTTTGCTTCTCCTTACGTGTCCATCTTTTGCGAACAACAGGAAGAAGAATCTTCTTCTTAATTCTCTGACGGTGACGGTGATCTTGCACAAGCAGCTTGGCATGCCATCCAGCTTTGGAGCTCTCTCTACTCAAACCCGAAGGCTGTGTCACAAAACCCTCCGTAAAAGAAGACATCGGCCCAAACCTATTGCCCACAACCAGCCTAAAGCCACTAGACCCAGACCCCGACCCCAGCCCAACCTTCAACTCACAGCCCACACCAGAGGACACGCCCAAAGAACACCTATCATTAACAACTTGGGCCTCCGCCACTCTAGCCGGCCCAAATGAACCTGAATCAAGACTGCAATCTCCTGAAGACCCAACAACCGGCCCAATAGAAGAAGGACCACCAACACAAGGAACAAGGGCCCCAATCTCTGGCCCAACCATGGGCCCATCATTACATGAGGCCTGCTTAGCCTTACGGGCCCGAGAATTTGAAAAAGATTTCGAAAAAAACTTGGATACAGCTGTATCCCTATGAGAACGGGCAAACCCTGGTTGCCAACCACGTGTCCTTTCCCCATGCCTTTCCCACCCACGCGCCATAGGAACGTGGAAACCACCTCCCTTTCTTCTCCGATCCCCCTTCTGCAAATCCGGCTGACAACCATGACCCCCGAAACCTCCACCCCTCTGAAAAAACCGAAGACCAACTTGCCGTCCACGATCCGACAACGAAGGAAAGCCTTCTCTTCTCCTCTGATTAAAGTTCCTTCTGAAACACTCTGAATTCCGGATCCAGAGCTCATCTCGCCAAACCTTCCATTTTTGAAACTCGGCAATCCTTTCTGTCCCATAGACTCCCATTTCAGCCACTCCACCTCCTTTAACAAGTGCGAGCCGTCACCTCCTTCTAGGCTATCCGTCGTTGGAACAAGCTCGGGGTGCTTCTCCTCCCAAACAGCCACTTTGTAGCAGAACCAGTCATCGTGAATGAAAACAAAAGGAGGGCAAACACGCCCCACAGAAACAGTGATGCGAACCCTTTCTGCATCCAAGGATTCATCAGCGTCCACCCAAATAAAGCCACCACAAAGGTCTCCAACCGTCACAAAGAGGGCATGACTACAAAGGTGAAGAGGGAGGCTGTACAGCGTCAGCTTCTTCATCCCCTGTTCTTTCAAAACCTCAGAACAACCCACACTGAAACTCCAAGAGTTCACGCGAAGGGTGGCCTTACGCCAGTCACGGCGACCCTCCTTGAGCACACGTGCTGCCTCCGCTGAAGAGGGAAGACGAAAAAGGAACAGAGAATCCGGTAAAGGCGAAACCACCACCTCCGGGGAGACCTTCCAAGCCTGAGATGCCCAAGCAGCAATCTGCCCCCTATCACCCACTTCCTTGTCAAACTTACCTACCAGACAAGACCGAAGATCCTCTTTCCTTCGACCAACCGAGTCATCATCCAAAAAAATCGAAGGTCCTCTGTACTAACTGCAGATCTCGCAGACCCGCCCTGAAAAAGACGAGGCAAACGCGCTACCTCCAGGAAAGAACGCATAACAGAAAGAACGAAACTTGCTGTCGAACCTTCGATTGATCGACCTATCGATTGAAGCGTACTGACAACTTCTTGATCGATCGACCTATTGATCGAAGCTTACTGGACATCTGTCGATGGATCAACCAAACATCTCGACTGATCAAGATGTACTGTTCTCAAATTTTAACTCCAGTTTTCACAAAAATAAAATTTTAGCTTAGTTTTGAAAAACCAAATATTTAAAAACATTTTCAAAGCATGTTAATTCCCAACTCTCAAATAAAATAGGCTAACCTAAGGTCAATCTAAGTTCATTTATGTGTAACCTATCCAAGTGATTGAATATTCACCATTCTTGCATTTGGGGTTTGCCATGTTTTCAAATGATGTTCTTGATCAACTAATCGACACTTTTACACTTTACAAGTATGTTTTGATGAGGAATATGTCCAACACATGACTCAACTTCCTAACAATAATAAAGCATTATTTTTTTTATGTTTAAAAAATTACAAGAAAAGAGGCACAGCAGTAATAAAAAGAAGGAAGAAGAGATGAGAAAGAAAAGAAAGAAGAAAGACGCAATCCCTCAAACTAGCATTAAGGCTGCAACTTCTAAATTCAGTGTCACAGCCGGTAGAGATGACTATAATTCCTTTATTAAAACATGTGAACTAGTATCAATGAATTGTAGGCCTGAAATCAAATAATATAAATCAAACAAGTGTGACTTATGTTTATCATATCAGCCACCGAGGTTTGATAATTTTCCAAATGCTTGTTATCAGGTTATGAATGGGATATTGGTCACTTTCATGGGGCTCAACGACCGGATGTGGACTGCTTTAGGAGCACATCATTTGGGCTATCCCAATCAGAGGTATGATGATTTTAGGGTATGGTATCGAATCATAATATCTGGAATGTTACTCTAGGTACAAATACTTAATTTTTAGAAAAGGGAACAGACAAGCTGATGTCTTCCCTGATGTTCACAAGGCATATAAGAGAGGTTTGCTATCTTGAAATTCATTTATCGTAGAGAGATATGTTTTTATTGCCTTCTGGTGCATACCTTCCTTGACATTAAGACTTTTCTTGGATGCCGCTAAAATTGGATGGTTCAATAAGTTTTAAAATCAATGTTCGAGCAACAAAGCAATTTTATGATATGGAGTTTCTTTGACATATTGTTTACACCCAAATTTGGTATTTGTTTTTTAGTACGTGTGGGAATAAAAGTTCCGACTGCTAAATGGTTTGGCCTTGGAAGACGGAATGATGAACCAAATTGATAGCCAATCCTTGACAGGATCGAGTGAAGTGAATTGCATCAAGATTGAGCCCAGGAGGTTTCACTGGAAGAAAGAAAAGTAGAAGAGGGACATAGGGTGATGAATAAGGATTGCTCGTGCTAAGGAGGATGAGCAAGAGGTTAAAGGAGTGAGTTGGGCGACTCATTGATTTGACAGAGCAGGTGGAGAGGCCATGCTTGTTGGGTATTGTCAGTTGGCTGTCAATCAATTAGTTGCATGTCAGAAGCATGGTCCATGTTAGATTGGGGTCAATCACTCCAATTTATCAAATTAGACAACATACCCCTACAACAACCATTTTGTTTCCACCAACCATCAATCTTACCCTTACATGTGGTGTCATTTGAGTGGAACAACCCCTCTTCCCCGTAACTATAAATAAAGCTCAATTATGATGAGAAACAGAGTCCCAAAACGACCAGAAAATGTTGCATCTCTATCCATCCTTCCAATCTTAGTATATACAGCCCTCTCATCTCTTGTCCACGCTCTCTATCTTTCTTTATCTCCATGATGTATGAACCCTTATCTCACTATACATATATGCAAACACCCCTTCTCCAAAGAGCAGCTAAATGTAGGTGTCACTAATGCGCTGCCAATATTGCAAATACAGCACTGCCAGCATGACAAACTAAAAAAAGGTTGAAAAGTCAAAATTACCATTCATTGAGGAGTTCTTCTCCACAGTTAAACCTCGAAGGCATTAAAAGCTCGAAGAGTTGTTCCCCTTAGATAAACTTTGAGCCCGCTAAATATTTGAGGAGCTCTTTCTCACAGATAAACGTCGAAAACTGCAAAGCTTGAGTAATTCTTCTAAGCAGATAAAGCTTGAGCAAAGGAAAGAGGAGTTATTCCAAGCAGATAAAACAGAGTGTTTTAATCCTAACAGGATTCCGAAAGACGACCTGCTCGATCAATTGAGGATGATCGACGTCGATCGATTGACAAATCCTAATACTTGATAAAAATTGCAGAAACAAGTTTTGTTTCAAAATACCATACATTATTAAAACCATATTTTCCAAGTCTTTAACCTTTGTAGAATCTCGTTCTTCATCATGGAGGTAATTCTCACTTAACTCAGTATTAGGACAAAACTATAAAAATAAACTAAAATTACATTGAACATGTTTTGATCTACAAAATTTGCGAACCTACTTGTATGGACCTTACATTCTGAAGTGGGATAAGATGTGAACACCTAGGAAGGAAGGAGATTTTGGGGTTAGGAGGTTGGAAGATATGAACAAAGCCTCTAGTTTGGGAATTTATAAAATCAAGGGATTTCCTATGGGTGGCCTGATTCCAAAACAGATACACAAGCTTTCTTTCATTCTGGAGCTTCTATTCAATTCCTTTTCATTCTGTTGTTTGGCAGAAAATGCTTGCTGTGAGGGAAATCAGCAGATAGAAGTTTAAAGTGGGAGATGGCTGTTCCTTCAGGTGGTTTACTGACCCATGTTGTCAAGGTCAAATTCTTTTGGCTAGGTTAGTCCTAGATTATACAGAGAGTTGAGTCTTCCCAAGAATGCATTAATTGCTGCTAGTATTGTAATGGGGCTCCTTCCTCTTCTGTTACCATTCAACAGTTGAGGAACATTCAGTGGAAATAAGGGATTTTTTCTTTGGAATGTGTGTAGTCACTACGGTTGGGATGATGAAGACTTTAATGATCATATCTTTGTCGCATGCCAATTTGCCAAGGCTATATGGGATTGGTTTGCTTCTCTTTTTCATCGGAACATGCCTAGGTGTGCCTCCTTAATGCAACTTGTGGAGTGGTTTGTACATCAGGAATTCAGATCAAAGTCTTATTCCTGAATCTTTGCAATAACAATTTGGCAGATTTGGGCTGAAAGAAACTTGAGGTTGAACAATGGGTGTCCGGACCTGCTGTGGATGTAGCTAGACGGATTTGGTGGGAAATTATAGACCTGCAAATAAGAGATGCTTTGATGCTTGATTGACCAAGCTTTGCTACTGTTCTATGTAGCAAGTTATGATCATGGCTCTTATGTGTCATGCTTTAATGTATTTTGAGCTTCTTTGTTTTGCCAAGTTTGGCTTCTGACTTTGCAGAGGCATGTCTCTGCTTTGTACCATTGTACTATATTGTTTGAAATTTTATAAAATTTCCACTTACCCAAGAAAAATAAAAAAGGATTTTCCAAAACAATCATGAATTCTCAACATCCTAATGCATAAATGGACGGCCCTAATTTTGTAAGTGAAAATAGCAATATCAATTTGCATTTGTATCTATGGTGTCAAGAATTATGCTTTTGCTTTTTGGTTGAAGCTTAAATTCCATCTTTGACCATGACCAAGAGGCAAATAACTTTACACTAACTTTTAGAATTCTAGCTAAACTAAATAATAAAAAGAAAATTACAGTCTCTAGTTTGTCACGAAATATGCCAACCGAAGTCCTATTGACCTAAACACTTTCTAGCATGTGTCCTTCTGTTTCCAATCTGGATGAATGATGTTGGTGATTCGAAAGTGATGTAACCTAATTCTCTTTCTTCTAACATGTGGAAGTCAATGAAATATGCAAATTTTTGTTTTTCTTTTTTCGAGTAAAATATGGTCAGAAATATGTTTCTCTTTCTTCCAACGGTTTTTTTTGTTTTTTAGGCTCTGTTTATTTCAACGTAAAATATTTTTCTTGGAAAATATATATATTTTTCTCGGAATATATATGTATATATATATATATATATATATATATTTTTCAGGTAAAATATTTTCTTTTATTTTTATTTTTTGATGTTTGCCAAATGTCTAGGTCGAGGGTGAGATGGAGTATTGATTAATAGGTTATTTTTGTTGGGTTTTAATATTTTTTTTTCTTCGTAAATATTTTATGACAACCAAACACTAGAAAACAAAGAAAATATTTTCTGGAAAGTATTTTACGCTCAAACAAACGGAGCCTGGTGTACTTTTTGGTTGGGCGATAGACAAGTGCGAATGGTTAGTCTTTGCATCAGCAGGTTAAAAAAGTTGAGGAGATGACTTGAGTGTCTGGGTAAACCACAACAGACTTTTTTAGCTCATCTCTGGGATAAGCGGTGCACCTGGACACTGAATCCATTGCAAGTAACCAACGAATGTCTGAAGTAGTATGCTGCCTTCTTCTCTGTTTCTTTTCCTTTTTTCCTTTGACTGAAGGAAGGCAGAGAGCTTGACATATTCTTTTCAATTTTTGTTCTCACCAGAAGTACAAAAGAAACCTGAGTCGTCTTTTTGGGAGCACCTACGTGTTTGGGAATTACCTCCTATTCAATGGTGTACCTGCATGTTAATCTTGTGATATTCTTAATATCTTTCTCTCTTTTTCATGGTTTTCTGAGCTCAAAAATGAATATGTTTAATTAGTAATCATTATTTAGTTTTGTGTATGTAAGAATTCCTTTTCTAACTTTGAGTATGAACATAGTCTGTTTTGTCTACGTCATACATCCAGGTCATTACTCCAGATCCTTTACACAGTGTTGATAAAGAGAGAACAACTATATTGATGTACTGCACAGGAGGCATCCGTTGCGATGTATATTCTTCGATCCTCAGGTAGCCTACTTTTCACATTGTTTACCTTATCTTTTCTTTTTTTCACTTTTTAATTTAGAATGAAAAATGGAAAACCGGAGTTTTACCTAGACTATCCCTTGACTAGGTGGATTTTTTTATTATATGGTCAAGTTTGTACTTTCCCTGCAGCTGATGTGCTAAAAGAAAATCACTGTAACCTTTCGTGCTATCTCCTGTCACACTATCTGAATTAGAAGAATTTTCATTTCATTTGAGTTTAAGACAATATCTCATTTATAGCCCTTTCTAGTTTTGAATTACAATACCATCAAAAAAAAAAAAAAAAAAAAAAACAATACCATCACTTGCTTATAAATTTTTTATCCAAGTGTCATAATTTCCCAACTAATATATTTGCTACCAGATCAGAGCTGCACTTATGGAAGGACATAGGATCTGTATTCCCTTCATTGGAAAAGAAAAAGAAGCGTCAATCAGTAAGTCCACCACAAAGCAATAGAGGAGACATAAGTTTATGTGGAACGGGGGAAAATTATAAGGCCAAATTATAAGGCCAACAATCTGCTGAAAAGTTGAACAAGTACAATCTTACTGTTACAAGTGGGACTTGTCCCGCATCGTATTTGGATGGGGGTTGAAGTATGCATAAATGGGTGGGTACGCAGTGCTACCCAACGACTTGAGCTTTTGGGTAAATGGGTAAGCGCCACCTGTTTCAGTTGGTATCAAAGCCAAACTCGGTCCTTAATCCAGTGTCACGCCAAGCACTCAGCCCGGGAGGTGTTCGGGTCTGGCCCTGGGTATGCAGGGTAGCCCGACCGCAACGAGGGCGTTGCGCGGGCTCGGGTGGGGGAGAAAGTTACAAGTGGGACTTGGCTCGCATTGGATTTGGATGGGGGTTGAAGTGTGTAACAATGGGTGGGTGTGCAGCACTACCTAACAACTTGAGTTTTTGGGTAAATGGGCAAGCGCCCACCCCCATAGTGAATGTTAGAGGGGCTTATCCCACATTGTATCTGGATGGGAAATGAATGGGGGTATATATGGGTGGGTATGCCGCACTACCCAACAATTTAAGCTTTTGGGTCAGAAGACAAGTGCCTGACCCGTTATAGTGGTATTAGAGACAGACCTAGTTCTTGATCCGGTGTCACGCCAAGCGCCCACTCGGAAGGTGTCTGGTCTCACCTGAGTAGGCAAGGTGGTCTAACCGCAACGAGGGCGTTGTGAGTTTGGGTAGGGGAAGAGTGTTAAGAGGGGCTCATCCCATAACACTACTCAATAATTTAAGCTTTTGGGTCAGAAGGCAAGCGCTCGACCCCTTACAGTATTCTTCTACACTACAACCGCTAGCTAGTTGATTTACCTTGAAACGAGGCTTACACCAGGCACTTTACCCAAAAATTTTGTTATTGTTGTTTAATCAATCTTGAACTTTGCATGCAATCTGTCTTCATTTTCTTTAATGTTTACTTTATCTATTCGTCGAAGCCGTAACAAATGCATCTTTGTAGCTAGTTGCTCTTCAAGGAGGATCAGCATTACTCCAAGAACAAGTTGAATAGTCCCACAAAAAGTTCTTGAGAATGGCGCAGTAGAAACTCCCAAAGGGATTCGAAGATTTGAAGCAGATCTAGAGGGGTGGCTAGGTCTCATTTACACTTTTCGATTAAATTTCAACCGGGTGACTTTGATTGCATACAATAATGCTAAGTAGATTGATAAAGAGTCAAGAAGCGATGCTCACAATTTGAAAAGATTAGGTAGACTTATCATCTTATGCTAGGCAATCCACTATGAACGAGGAACAAGTACAATTCCAGTACTTGACTCTAACTTGACACTTGACTAGACACACAGTTGCTTCTGACGCCTTAGTCTCACACCTAATTTTCACTCCTCCTGTAAGCCCAGTAGCTCAATTTGACACTTGCTCTCTCTAGTTCAGATGCAGCTATTAGTCAAAGTGACCAACTACTTCATTTGCCTTCCTTTTGCAGTATTAATTTTATTTTATTTTTAATAAGTAAGAGTATATTAGAAAGCGTTCAAGAAGGGAGCGTATCCTGGAAAGTATACAAGGGCTGAAGCCAAAGAAAAGGTCCCAAGGACACAAGGAACCCAAAAAATCAACAATCTCCTCTATATATTTACAATTTTTCCCCATCAACCAACTAAAAAAAGAAATTTCAAAGCCCGAATGGAAAATGTGTGTTTGACTGATGTTTGACTTTCCTCTCAACTTTTCTTTTCTCTTTTGACGCCGGAGTCTTCTACTCCGGCGTTTATCGTTCTCTTTCTTTTCACTTTTGGTTTTGACGGATCATGCTACGTTGGTATCTCACAGTTGCGGCCCTACCATGTCTCAATTTTCACGGGAAGATCCAAAGTTGTTCAATTGATAGAGATGTGGTCCTTAGGGTTGATCGTAAGAGCATTGCAGAACGTGAATTTGTACTGAAATCTTGTCTGGTTGGTCGATTTGATCGTGATGTGGGGTGCATTAAGAGGATTGAGGGGTGGGCGATGATATCTTGGCAGATCTCGTGTGGAGTAAAAATCTCAACCCTACCTGACGGCCTGTTCTTGTTCCGTCTACCATCGGAGGCCGAAGCTTGTAGAGTTTTGCATGTGGGGAGGAAGAGATGGGGTGAAGCTTCCTTACACATCGACAAATGGGATTTCGCGGTGGGTTGCTCAGCCGTGGTTGATCGTGACAGGTTACGAAAGGTGGTGTTGTTCGGATTGCCCCTCCATCTCTGGTGTCATAAACTGTTTGTAGCTATCGGTGACCTCTGCGGTGGGTTTAGAGGACTGGAAGCGGATGATCAAGCAAGAGGTGAACGAGTTCTCATTCTTGTTTCCGCCGGAGCTGTGGTGTCGGAGTTTGTTTTTGTTGAAGACCAACGAGTAGCATTCAAGATCAGGTTGATTGAGGAAACCTCACCTTGCATTCTTCCAAAATCCTATTATGGGTCTGGTGAGGCTTCTCTCCTCCTGTATGATGGAAAATTCAACGGCGGGCGTCATCGGCATTTGCAGGCTCAACTGAGTTCTCAAGGAAAACGAAGAGCGTTCGCCGATGCGCCAGAAGAGAGTGTGGTTAATAGATTTCCGAGGTGTACGCATAACGCCCGTTTTCAACGCTTTTCAAATCCTCGTCTTGATAGGCTTGATGGTATTCAACCACGTGGGCAACCACGTGGCTTCACGAGGGCCTTTCATGCAGCTGAATCAACTGGGCGTAAGTATGGGCCTCTTTCTTCTGGGTTGAACAATGGGCCTCTAGGTTCTTATGGACCACAAGCTTCACTTAAAAGGAATGTTATATGGAGGCCCAACAATAAGCTATCCATTTCTTTCCTAAATGATAAGCCCAACCCACATTTGCCCAAGTCCAGCCGTAATAATACTAAGTTACGTATTGGGCCATTTGAAGACTTAAAAAGATTGGTTGATTGGGGGCCAATAATAAGAAATCAGCTTCTTTTCTTAATACAAAACCCAGTCCAGCCACCTAACCAATTCATATACAGGATCGTCTTCCTCATGTTCCCTCTGTGAAATTTTGGAGCTCACCGGAGAAGAAGAGGTGGATGAAATTAAGTGAAGATGAGGCTGGTGTGGGAACAGATAAGAATGGTTTTCGTCATCTACAGTGTTACGCTGATGCTTTAATCAAGCCCCTTCTAGCTACATCTCGGATAATGGGAAACAGCTCTAGACTTTCATTTCGGGATTCACATAGAAGCAACCATGTTTATTGATGGTCGAGAAAAGATAAACAAAAATGGAGCTCTACTGACCCAGGTATGTCCTCTGTTTCTCATTCTCAGAGCTCCCTTAACGCACCTTCTTCTTCTTCCTCCCTTTCTGGAGAGGTGAGGGGCGATGTTGAGATGTCAATGGAGAAGAGTTGTGTTATGACTGATGTGCCTTCGGCACCTGCTGAAGAGTTTGGGCTGGTTACAGGGACGACTGCCAGCGAAATTGTCACTTCAGGCCAAACAGATTCACTCAATTGTGAAGTTCAGGACTCATCAGATGGGGTCTTGGTTCGAGTTGGAAGAGACCTTCACTTTCAGTTGTCTAATGAGTCAACCATGTCTCTGCTCAAAGAACTTCGCCTTTATGTTGCTTTAAAAGGTTTTAATTGTACATCGTCTGTTGGGGAAGAGGAGAAAAAATTGGTTAGTTACTTGAGTAGTGGACTGGGAGACAGTACTGATTCTGACTCGTTTTCAGAGCCTTTTGATTTTGGAAGGGCTTGTGATGAGGAGGTGGCTACTGATTTGGTTTCTATCCAAGAAGTCTGTTCTAACGAGTCTGTACCTTGGATGGAGAATGATTTTTTTGAAGTGATAGAGGAGGAACCTTTGGCAATTGAGAGATTTGGTTGTTCAATAACAAATGTTGATTTGGGTAAGGATTGGATGATTGAAAACATAGGAGCTGCTAGTGAGTTGCTAGGTGTTTCTTCAGAGGGAAACAATAATCAGACACTTTCCATTCTTCAAGCTATAGTGGAAGGCAGAGAGGTTGCTGTGACTGAAGAGGTAGTGAACCCGAGGCCTTTATCATCCTGGAAAGGGGCACAGGAGATCAAGAATCTGATCTCTGAAGTCAATTATGAGGGAAAGAAGGGGGTTGGTGAAGGAGAGGGGAAGGACTAGGAGTCGGAGCGCGAAGAAAGGAGGTGGGGAGATTATCTTATCTGGTTTTTAATGAAGCTACGAATTATTTCTTGGAATGTTCGTGGTCTCAACGACCCGAATAAAAGGAGGGTGGTTAAGGTTGCTTTAAGGAATTGGGGGGCCCATGTTGTATGTTTGCAAGAAACAAAGTTGGCATCCATTACGGATGGGGTGGTAAGGAGTTTGTGGGGAGGAAGGTTTGTAGAATGGGAAGTTTTGAATGTTACAGGTTCTTCGGGCGGTATCTTAATTATGTGGGATTGTAGATGGGTGTCACAGCTGGATGTGTGGGTGGGGAAGATTTTCAGTGTCTTGCAAGTACAA